TTCAAATGCTCTGTTAGAAAATATTTATTTAAATAGGCTTTTAGTTAGATTATTTATTCATTTAATATAATATTGTCAGTGATTTTTAAAAAATTCTGTTTTGCTAATTACTCTGGAAATTTTTATACTGTAAATATTGTAATTTTACCGGGTTTAATAATAATACTGTAATGCACTTTTGAGTATTCTTATAGAAAAAGTGCAATACAAGTATTAAATACTATTATTTTTACTATTACTATTATTATTATTATTATTATTATGATTATTATTATTATGTTGAGAATGAAGGAGTTGATGACAAATTAAATGAAAATCCTTTTTTAAACTTTTGCCAAATTCTTAAACTTTGATCACTGAAACCCACATTTGACCCTGGAAAGTCATGAACATTATAAAAACCCACCTCTGTCAAAAGCATTAGACATTTTCCATTGATCTTGTTTACAGAGAACTGCTCTGCCATATATCCCAGACCAGCACGCTCAAGAAAATTCCTGTTCACGTCCTCCACAGACCAGGCTGTTGGTAGAATTGACAAGTAACACTTGATTAGAGGTGATAATTATTTTTTTTAGAAGCTATTGATTTAAATTTCATTTAAATTTGTGTTCTTTAATGCATGCAAGTATACCTGCAATGGGAGGGAAAGCACATAATATTAGGGAAAGAAAAATACCAAAATGGAAAATACTGATAACACAAAAAAGAATTTGCAGTATTTCTGAGGAGTTTTAAAATTCATAATACTTAAAAATCAAAATTTACAAAAATCATTAAAATTATAGGCCTTTGGGCCAACAGTAAAATTTTCAAAAAAGCTTGGATAGATGACTCCCTGGAAGTAATTAATCCTGCTGTTTCTTGTAAAGAGTTAATCTGTATCTAGGAGATGAATTTGTTACTGCGAAAATGCAGGATCATTTCCACAAGAAACATTTTGCACATCAGAAAAATAGCCAGAGGATTTATAAACATTTACTTGTATTTGAACTGAATCATATCTTTGAAGGTCTAAGATCACTTTAATTGCCAGATGTTTAATGATGCAGTCATGATGCATGTAGGTCTTGATGGCCTGTCTCCCAGTTATTTCTCAAACAGATTTTGTATATGGTCCCACTATCCATAGAAACAGGCATAATATTTCATTTTGCAGAATTGCCACAGCCTAGCAAGCCTTTTATTATCATGGTGCAAAATTATGAAACAGCCTGAAATAAATAACAGACACCAAAGTTTTTTAAGAAACATTTAATCAATGAAGTGATGAGCAATGTAAAATAAGTTTGGACATATAATTGTAAATAGTTTTTCTGATATTTTCCATGATTTATTTATTTTCTGTATTTTAACATTGGTGTTGAAAATACTTTTAAGGGATGCTAAGTCAAGTGTTCCTCTCCTTTACCTTGGCTTCCATAGCCAATTCCAAAATAATAATTGGAGAGAAAGCATAACTAGCATTTATAATGTAATCTATTTAAACTTCTTCAGAAAAATATTACAAAAAAGAAATTTTAATTTCTAAGGCTGCAATATGTTATGCATAATTTTCTTAAATGATTCAGACATTTACTCCGGATTTTGTCATTTTCTGTCGTGTGCCATCAAGGTTGTAAGGAGCGGCACAAGGGATATCCGAGTAAAAGGTACTTTCACAATCTAATCCTCATTCAACAAGGATGAGTTAGGGTCACCAGGTAACAAACATTGCTGTACTTAAGGAAATTTGCGATCACCCAGAAAGCTGCTCTCAAACACTTGACAAGCTCGTCGAAAATAAACTTTACAACTTTAGTGCGCGCTTTAGAACAGGACTTTTGTCACATCATGTAATCACATACACTGCGATCGTTAACCCTGGATTGTGCTATAAATCTCTCTAAATGGAACCCTGTTCTAGATGTCACGTAAAAAAAAGAAACTTTCATCTTATATTTAACTTAAGTTAGTGACCACAGCGAGAAATTATTTCGATGGCAGACACCAAAATATAACACTTGTAGATCTCATATTGAGTATACCTTTGTTTGGTCTCTAACAAACAGTGCGAAGCAAAGCTGTCGGACACCAGAAGCACTTGAAATGCAAACTCTGAATTTCAATACGAGGAAAACTGCCCTGACTGCTCGAGAAGGCGGGTCGAATAACTTGGATTGAAAGTGTGAAAAACTGAATTTACAACGCTTTAAATAAGATCGACCCTTGATTCGATCAAAGGTCTCCTAATGCCGTCAGGGACGACGAGAAACTATCAGAAATACGGCTAAAACAGCGAACGATATAATTTTGCAATGATTCATCCTTGAAATTCAAATATAAAATCTCTTAAAACACATTTTGAGAATTTCAGATCGGAATTTGAAAGAGCAGGTTTGCATACGGAGTACTGTTGAACAACGCCCATAATAATGAAACAACACCGTTCGCTTAGGGAAATAGCTTCTGAGAGAGAATAAACAGAGACAACAAAATCCCTTCATCGTCTTTGATTTAAGGATGGTGTCTCCGAAACATTTCTAACTAACTATTATTCACAGGTAAAAGACAAATAGTGAAAGAAATACCTGTGAACACCCAAATATGTAATGGCGTGCGGTATTCGATCGAGAAACGCCAATGCCCTAATTGCAACGTGTGATTGTTTGGAAATGTTTGCAGCACGTAAAATAAAATAACCAAAATTCAAACTTACTTGATACTGTGGCTGGATCCAAGTTGAGAACATATTCTTCCGTAGGTGAAAGTTTGGCTGGCTGGTTGACTATTGGTTTTTCACTCGCCATCACTGGTGGAGTGGCTCCGTCTTTCCCGGGCAGAGATTCGTATTGTTGCTTATTGAAAGCCATCTTGGTTAATAATTCATGCACAAGTGTGTACGCCCTATTTATACCTAGTCACGCCACAACAAAGAGGTTTGACAGTTGCTCGAAGTTTCTGGGACACAAGTTGTTTTGTTCTTCAAATATTTGATGATGCATCAACAAACCTCGATGTCTGAATATTTATCATCCTCACGAGAAGTTTTTCATCGTACATATTCACTACAATAACCCCAGAAGCGCTGTCACGCTGTCATTTTCAACGTAATCCAAGAAAAGAAGCTGTTTAAGCATTAGCGAATGCTAAGAAGCTGTGTCTTTCCACGTAATGTTTTGATTGACCATGTTATTTGGTTAATTCACTGATGTTGGCTTTTGAAAAGGTGCGGGCGTTTCTGTCTAAAGACCTGAGGCGCTTCCAAGGAATGTATGAGAGGATTGGGAGTGTTGTGTCGAAGACTTCATAACTTAGGTTCATGAAAGAGGTTACTGAAAATGGCTATCAAGCTGTACACGAAGTGGGACTGAGTGAAATCATTTGGGAAATGGCTTTTTGCCCCCATCCCTCAAAATTAGTCCCGGTAACTCGTATGGGTCAAACGAAATCGGCGGAAATAGTCTGCACCGCGCGGGAATAGAAAATAGTGTCTTCTAGTCGCAGCCACAAGTATCCACATATTGTTTGATGGATAACAGCGAAGAACCTGACAGTTTGAAGGCTGCTTCAGATGGCCTTTCTTCCTTAATTAAGTCAGGAAGCAATTAATCGTAAAAAAAAATAAAAAGTAGTGGAATAAATAAGTTATTGATGAGGCAAATTAGGAGGTACTTAACAAGATTTTGATTTTTTTTCGGTGATATTAATCAATTTCTCCGAAAATAGTTCCTTGGACCAGTCATAGAAAACTCTCAAAATACTCCTCACGCCGTTTTGTAGTGCCCCACTAACACAGATTTCAAGAATTGATCTGGGATTTATTTCTTTCTCAGAGTAGTTACTTTTTCACCCTTACCGTGACCGAAGGGCTGTTGAAAAACAATGCCAAAACCAAGGCACTCTTTCTCCTTAGTCTCTAAAATGTATTTACATTCAAATTCCGAAAACTTTTCACGACTTATACCCCAACGTTAAATGACTTGAAAAAATATCGTAAAATTCCACGACTTTTCACCATCTTAACCCATACGAATCCTGGTTCTTAAAAGTAATGAAGGTTGAGAAATACACCTTGTCATTTGACGATAACTTTAAATTAACCCAACCACTGATCTGTTATCTTTAACAGAGAAATGATGGACGATCCACACAGGTAATCTGCCTACGCCAAAGTAAAGAGTGGGGCAGATAGGTATATTTGAGCAGCATACCGCCCCCTTCCTCAAGAAAAAAACAATTGTCAAGAAAATGGGGAATGCCTCCAAAAACTAGCAAGATGCTATTATGGAAATCTCTGTGGGAAAATGTCAACTAGACCTTGAGAGATTTAAAGTGCCAAATTTTGGGTCTTTACTCTCACAAAGACCAAAGGTGGACAAGCACGTGAGTAAATCCTTTGTTATCAACATCATTCAAATATTTATTTGCTAATGTTCACATAAATGGCAAAACCAGATAACTTTCAAAGTGCTTTGTACAGAAGTAGATTTACTAGTGGCGTGATCTGAGTGGGTGTAACTAATGCCTCTAAGGAATAACTTTTGTAAATGATCCAAAAGGAAGCACCAACCCTCTGGTTACCTGTACTTAATGACAATTGATAAAGCCTAGATGATAGATGATAATATAAGAAACAACTTTTCAAAACTATTGATGCCAGAAAGTTAAAAAATGTTTTACTCTCAAAAAAGTTATGTCGTCAGTAGTGCAAGTTAACAACAACTGCTCTTTCCTATCTACAGGCGAGTAACTCACTGCGATAAACTATCAACACATTAAAACAAAGGTGTTTTGCTTGTACCATACAATGCAGAAAGTACCAAGTGCACCAACAAGTTGTGCAGTCATCATACAGAGCATCCATGAGATGCCATACCAACGCATATTTACAGACATGGATGTTATGTGTTGATCTCTGTCTGGTGAGAGATGTTCACTGACTCTTGAAGTGAAAGCAAATTCAAATCAGACCAAGTCCAACAAGGAAAAAAAAACTTGCTACCATTCTGACATGTTTAGTACTATGAATTACAAAACAGGATATGACTCAGTCACAACTCATGGAATGAAAACACCATTTGGAAGTCATGGAATAGTTCTGTTAGAGGCCTTGTGAGAGAACACTTCCAGCCCTTTAAAATAAGGGCATCAGTAACATGCTGGCAAGTCTATACATAAAGAGCTCTTTCTCTATAGAGTGGGCTGCTCTGCACTTGCTAAGATAGTTTACATCAGTCATCATCATCATCATCATCATCTTCTTCTCGCTTTCTTTTTTCTCCTCTCCTTTCAGCTTCCTCTGTTTCTTCATCCTCCTCTTCCTCTTCTTCCTCTTCTTCATCTTCTTCCTCTGGGTTGAAGTCTTCTCCTTCTTCTTCATCCTAGAATTGAGAACAACATATGGTTTGCATTCAATGTACACCATCTTGTTCATCTGCTTTGCATTTATGTTCACAAAGACTTAACAACTAGAGACACCCTTTACTCTACCTTCTACTTCTGAAATAAAACACACTTGTGGCCCTACTGAAAATAACCTAAAAGGAACCTTTCATTATATTATCAGTTAAAGAATCTAACACAGTACACAAGTATTTACCTCTAAGTTCTCTTTTTGTAAGTAATCTAGACCTGGTTCCTCCTCATCTTCACCTTCATCATCTTCTTCATCATCATCATCTTCATCACCCTCTGAATAAAAGTAAAAAAAACAAAAACCTTAAATTAACAAATCTTGTGGATGTTTCAGGATTAAATCTTAATAGTTTTCCATTTTCACTGAGGTTGCAACCGAACAATTAATTTGTCTTGTAGAGGTTACCCAATGGATGACTTAATCTGATAATCTGAGATGAAACTTGTTGCAAAAGCCAAAAGGTATCAAGAGTTTTAACACTAAAACTCTGAAAAATAGACAGTCAAAGAATGCTGGTGGCTACTGGTATAAAACAACTTTTGTAGCATTGAAAAGAACTAGAGGTTGTATAATGACACTCGAGGGTAGTTTTGCAAAATATTTGTCTCGCATACAAAACATATTTATAAGTACCCTGTTCCACAAGAGAAAGATGATTCAAGAATATATTCTCTCATTGGCATTCAACCAATGATTGAAGTGGTAACAAATAATAATGATAACATGATAATAATTTAAAGGAATTAGCTCAAAAGCCTCATGGTTTCTCTATCCCCTGGGCTTCAACAATGATTACATTTCCTTTTTTTTAATTTTGCCTGTTAATTGGAAACAATTTTTTCATTTCATTGCAAATCCATTTTTCGAGACTTTTGTAATAGTATATTCTGTCATTCTGCATCTTAAGATATTTTGCCATTCTATTGATCCCCCGTTCCTCAGTTTCATCATTCCATTGAATAACTCAAGGTATTGTATTTTGCAGCTTGCTCACTTTACAAATTTAGCAGCCCACAAACCCATCTCCATCTAAATAGAAATAGAAAAAAATATTGTGCAAAATACTACGGTGTAATGGATACTTTTTTCTAGCTGATCTTTTGCATTTTGGTTGACAGTTGTGCTTGCTTTAATACTTGCAATGGACTGAGAATTTCTTGTTCATGCCATGCGTTCTCTAAATTGCTGCCAGTATAACCAGACCTGGGGTACAAGTCAGACATTTTAATAAAAGTGGTGCTCAAATTCTTGGACAAGGAAAATCCTGCTATTACATGCAAAACTAGATGAGCAGACTAAATTTTTTTCCCCAATGAAATTTTATCCAGACATACTTCCCATATCATGATAACTAAACAGTTAGAAAAAAAAACTGTTTTTGCCAAAATTTGGAGGCCTCCGAGGCAGGACATCAAACATCTGGTTCTTTAAAGAGTGGCAAAATTTTGGTGATCTGCAAAAATTTGGCGATTTTTTCAAAGGGGGGGGGGGGGTCGCACTTCTTTTACACTACCTGTTGACAAACAAGAAAAGCCATACTGTTTGTGCGAAAAAACGTTTCAATTCTTTGTTTTGTTTTCTCTTTTACTGAGCCTTTCCATCCAAGTTTGAACCCTTTCAACCCTAAGTGATCAGCATCTAATTTCTCCTTTCACTAATACTGCTGAATCATTTATTACGATCATAAGAATAAAGGAAACAATCAACAAACTAAGAAACTTTGATTGTTAAACAGATTATTTTCACTGCCAAAGGAAATGTATAGAGAAGGATTTAAAGGTCAACAAACAAAAAAGATGATCAAGGCAACAAACTATGCTTGTCTCAAATCTCCAGCAAACATTAGTCAAAGGGCAATAAAGCATAAAGAAATATTTTGTTTCAGAGCCATATGAGTAACTTTAGTTTTCACTTTGGTCATTTATCTGATCGACAAACTAGACACAGGGCTAGAAAATTTTTTTTTTTTTTTGAAGATGCTCAAACACTACAAGGTATGTATTCAATCCATAGTGAGAAAAATCTATAAAAATACCTATTTAAACTAAATGTATTGGTTTCTTCCCTAACATTCTTCCTAAAAATGACTAGGGAAAGGTGCATCTGGTTATAGAAGTCAATTTCAAACCCTGTGTTTCTTCTTACTAACAGACTTAAAAATAGTAAAAAAAAAATTTTTTAAATATTACCTTCCCCTTCTACACCTTCCTCCTCTTCCTCGCCACTTGAGCCCTCTTCATCATCTACATCATCTTCATCTTCCTCCTCTCCTAAAAGACAAGCAGATCAGAGTTGAAGGTGGTAAAATGAGAGAACTTCATTGGTTGGTTTAACACTTTACACCCTAACATTAGTATTCATGTTCTCCACACTTTTCTCTTTATATTTCCAATGGTACTGATAAGGAGAATCCACTGACACTCAGAAGCTTCTTAAATTAGTGATCATTTCTTGTATTCTAGTGAACTTAACATCTGATTCAGGTGATATCACAATAAGAAATTATAAGTCAATCAACCGATCTGGTTATAAGTAAGGCTAGGTTAACATCTTCAAGGGCTCAACACTAACTTCCCAACTTACTAGCCAAGTGGCTAGTGACAACTTAGATGTTACAACAATTTTAGTTTGTTTACTTGCCAAACTGGCTAGTGGAAATAAAAAAACCACTTGCCAAAACTGAATTTCTACTAGTCTGTGGCTAGTTGGCTACCATTAGTGTTGAGCCCTGATCTTTTCCTCTTCCAAACAACACCGCCTTTCATTCCCAGATGGAAGTTGATGAAATACAACACTAACTGATCAACTCTTCATTGTTTGGGTCAGGGCTTGACACTAACTTTTCAACTTACTAGCCAAGTGGCTAGTGACATCTTAGATGTTTTTAGATGTTACAACAACTTCAGTTTGTTTACTTCCCAAACTGGCTAGTGGAAATTGAAAACCACTAACCAAAACGGAATTTCTACTAGTCTGTGGCCAGTGGGCTACCGTTACTGTCGAGCCCCAAGGATGCAAGTCTATTGCAGGTGTTACTTTAGCAATAAGAAAATAGTGAAAGAGGAGGGGAGGTCAGGAAAACAATGCATTTAAAACACCTGTAGAACTCTTTCACAAGGTCTTCCCACCCCATTCAGCAGGTAGCTGGGGTATTCCTCGAAGGCTATTAACCCATTGACACTTACGTGTAACACGTGCCGACGAAAAGTCAAAATTTTAGAGAAACCAAGAAGGCAAACACAATGTGCAGTAAATTTTTAAAAATCAGCTTTTCCAAAAAACAAGCTCCAGTGAAAGAGGACTAATTAAAGAACTTATTTCCAGCAAAAAAAGTGATAACTGCATATTACCTTTTAACTCAAAAATCAAGATGAAAGATAAAAAATTGCTAAATATTTTCACGTGTGAAAATGGGCATGTGGATCATATTTCAAAAGGGAATATACAAATTTGTCTCTGAGTGAAGAGATTTCAAGTTCCATGGAATCTATCAATAGGAAGCAAGACTAAAATGGCCAAGAAATACTTTGGGATGTCAGATTTATTCAAAACAGTTTTTGATTTGTTGTTATAAGCGAAAAACGTACGAATTTCTTACGTGTACAAAGCCCATGTGGTAAAATTCATCATGCTTGGATCTTTGTTTACTTGCCTTCATGGCCAGAAATTGCACAGCGTTATGTTGAAAATTCTGAAAAAACTTCAATTTGAGGCAAAATCTTCTATTAAACTATACTTTTTGAACACATTGTTACTCAAACATAATATTTACCAGGCCATCGAATCGTCAAATTGTTGCCAGGCCCTGCTTGAAGTCCGAAAGTTTGGTTTTCACTTTATGTCCATAATTCGCATCGCCTTAGAGAATCGTAGTGTCGTTGACTTGAGAGCTTATTCTGTCACTTTTAAGACCTGGATATCCATTCTTTTCCAAGCAGAGTATCCTATGGCATTGTTACTTTACATTCTGAATTCCACAAGGTCTAACTTGATCGCAAATGAACGAAAAATCCGACCTGAAAATTTTCAAGGTCGGCCGCGTGGACACCATATTTTCAAATTTGATCATTTAGTGAAGACGCATAGAATAATGCCCCTCTAGTACCCCCTAAAGTCGAAAAAATATATGCGCAAACAACAGATTCTGATTGGCTTATTGATCTCCAATCTATAGAGGAAGTTTGGGGACAAAACTCCACTTAGTATGGGAGGTATGGGGGAAAGTGTTCTTGCACGAGGCGATCGCGAGGTTCGGGCGGTTTAGGTGTCAATGTGTTAAAGTATTCTTACCTTCACCATCATCATCTTCGTCATCTTCATCCCCCTCATCATCCTCCTCTCCTTCGTCATCTGTACACAAAAATAAATATGAAATATGATGCACATGCTTCATACCTTTCTTCAGAAAAAATTTCAAGGACTTTTACTGGACTCAAATTGATTTTTCCAGGACTCCAAACTTCGCCTTATACCCTTTTATTCCCAGGATTTCAAAATCAATTTTCCCTACAGTCTCCATACATTTATTACAACGTTGACTCTGACAACTTTTTTGCTTCATTGAACCAGATGTCCAGGACTTTCCAGGACTTCCCAGTCCTGGAAAATGTCAAAATAAAATCCTAGGACTTTCCAGGACCCATACAAACCCTGGATACATTGTTTTCATTAACAACAGAAGTAATGGGAGAATAATGGAATCAAAAAATATTCTACACATCTGAATTAAAAATACCAGCAGCCAACAAATTTAGCCAGAGAATTACAATGCAATACAATATTTTATTGACAACTCCCCAAAGGGGCTTTTCAGTGACAATGACGATTAGTCAATAGCAGTAACAATAAAAAAAATGGTAATGGTTAAAAAGAGTGATGCTATATACATTATAAAATATCAATCACAAAAAATAATAAATAGAGTGTTGGAACTATAGTATAACTTAATTATAAGAACAGAAACTCGGGCTAAATCAAGTCAAGGATTTTTTTTAAAAGGCCTGATTTGAGATTACGTTTAAAACTAGAATGATTTTTGATATCCAAAGAGTTCTCTAGCTGATGTATCTATTGAACAACTGTGACACTGTGGAAACTTGCTAACTCCTCTAATGCTAGAAACAAATGTCTGTCACATGTTTGGGAAAACATGCAACAGTTTATTGCTCTTGGTTCTCAAATCTTGGAACACACATAATCAGAGGATTTGTAAAACAAATGGCTAAGAATAACACTGCCCACCAAAATTTGAAATAAGCATCATTTTTTCTTTTTTATGTTCTCTTGGTCGTCCTATGAGGAAGAAACCTTTGCAGTGCAAGTGCTGAAAGGGAACTCAGTTAAGACCCAAAGAGAAACTGTGTTTTCCCACCTAAACCATCAAGATTAGTGAGCAATTCAACATGTACTTAGAGAAAATCACTGACATACATTTTGCCTTGGTGATTCTACATACCCTAATCAATCAGTGAATATCTTTCTTCATCTGTGAATAACACAACACACCCTGGGCCTTTTCTCCATGTTCAAAACAACACAAGCATGGGCCAAATTGGAAAACAACTCAATGTGAAGTCAACATTACTCTGGTGACTAATGGCATCGGATGATTCCAGAATTTTGAAAAGTTCTCGGATAAATTTACGGCATTTGGTCGATTTAAGAGTGAGAATGTCTTAAAAGTGAAAGCCTTGCCCACCAAAAGGCACTAAGACGATATCACATAACACTGAATATTTAAACGAATGTCTCTTAAGAATCGGCCATTCAAATATTCTAATGGGCCTCAGTTCCCCCGTTTTCTGGAAGGAAATTTGATCTAATTTTCGACGAAAACAGTGACAACATTATCGACGATTCTACGAAAAGAGTACGTGTTGCTATGCCATAAGTCAGCTGAAGTGATCGCTTTGGTCGAACGGAGACCCAAGCAGAAATCCTAAAATAGCTTCGAGTCTCCAAATGCGCGGGAATTTCCATTTACAGCGTGGTACCCGCTCTCGAGTTGATTTACTTTCCCTCCACAGATGAAAGTAATTACTTGAAATATCAAAGGAACCCTCTATAGACGGTTTACGTATAGAAAGGAAACGACATGTTCCGTTTATGAGGCGAAAATTACAAAAATCCATTCAATGTGGTGTCTGAAGCTTTCACTCAATTCTTCTTTATCCGATCGTTGCATATTTTAATGCGTTAGTTGCCGAACCGCGGGTTTCCCTCGCAAACTTGAATCCAGTTCAAAATTATCAATTTAGCGGATACTAAAAGTAGTTTCGTTTCCCATTAAAATAAGATGACTTCAAGAAGCAAGATAATTCAAGTGAACTGGGCACTGTGTTTCATACCTTCTTCGCCGTCTTCCTCCCCGGAGGAATCTGTGTCCTCTGCTTCGTTCCCGAATCTTATAGCGAACGAGAAAAACAAGTTATTGCCAAATTTTCATGAGACCTCCGAACAAGAAATGCTTCATGGCTAACGAGCCAGAGAAGGAAAGTGCAACCATAAATATAATTTGCACTCACTTCCCTTACTTACCTGTCATAGCCGTCGAGATATTTCAGGGATGGTATCATGTTAAATATTTCAGCTCTGTAGTCTTCTATCGTTGTTACTTCGCAGTTAAGTAAATCCAAACTTTTTAAATTTTGTAGTTTTGACTGATAAGATAAAACAAAATGCGTTAGCGCTACTAGGAAATAAATAAGCGGCCGACTGCAAAATATGATAGATTTGTCTTTATTCTTAAATCCAAATAAAACAGTTGATCGAACCTGGATAGGATGCGACTCGTTCACAAATGATTACTCAAACTTTGTACTCACCAACGGTTCTAAAGTTTCGAGATCTTTTATCCTGTTATTGCTAAGACTCAAATGTGCTAATTTCGGTGATCCCTGAAGGGACTGGAGGCCTGACATTATCCTGTTTTCGCCAAGTTCCAGCTGGAAACAAACAGAGTTGAAAATATGTGAATCGACGGCAGTTTGTGCTGTGCAAGGGACGTTCAGGGCAGCTCTGTAAGATTGCACCCGCAACAAGCTACTGACTCCGAAAAAAAATCTCACTTACCCGAGTAAGATTTGGTAAATTGGGAAAATTTTTCAAATTTGTCAGCCCAACTTTGATCAGAGATAGCCTCTCCAAGTTGACGAATTCATCTGTTAGCCCAACGACGTTGGTAGAATAACAATTGTCCAAGATTAGCTCGACAATCTGCAAAACAACAAAAGCACATGGAAAAGGGACGACTCAAAAAATCAGTCGATTTACTACACTTTTCACTCGTAAATCGAACCAGAGACTCTTAATTTCCCTAGAAGAAATCCTTAACCCCCAAAAGACTCGCTATTTTACCTCATCCGGCTTTCTTTTACCACACTCTAAAGCGATCCGTTTCTCCATTCTGGTGTTGTTCGTTGTGGCTGGAGTCGCATTATCCATTGCACCTTCTCCGGAATCGAACGACTACGTTTGCCTCGCGCCACAGTACATTTTCCCCAGAGGGGGTACAATAGATTGACGCTCTTTAACCCAGCGTAGTAGCGAATATTTTGAATCCATGCAAACTTGTTAAACGAGAAACGCACCTTTGATCAAGTGTTAAACATTACGCTCTCCTATCCACTAGAGACTTGAAAGGTATAAAAATGGCTATTTTGCGTACATGTAAGCAAGTGTAGGGTTAAATAAAGTCTCACTGCATGATTCATCAACGGAAATCAAAACAAGCAAAGCTTGCATTAATGAGTTTCAAAGATCTACCAGAAATATAACTTTCCTACTCTTGGTAAATATGACCCTTAAGAGGAACTATAGTGGAATTCAAAGATAATACAACCTGGGAGGGGAAGTTCTTCTCATTTCAGACGTAACATGCGACATAAAATGTGTTAAAGTTTACACATATTATATTCTCCCAACTTACCTTTTTACGTCACCATTCCGCCAATTGTAAGGTCATGTGACTTACGAAGCCATCTTGGATGCTTGGAAGGGAAAAATTTACAATACTTTGGCCCAATGTCATTAAAAAAAGCTACAAAACTGAAAAATTCGATTGCACAAATGTGAGAAAATACACACCAGGTCCATGACCGAAAAATATCGGGCAGAGAACCGGAAAAACTATCAGTATTCCACCCTTGCCATTGTTTGCCTTCGGTACAAGCCTTTGCGACATGCAATTTCAGACTTGGGCCACCATCTTCCGATTGAGTCGTAGCAAAGCATTTCGTTCTAAATGAGAAATGTTTCTGTGCATTCAAATTGTTGACTAAGAGATTTCTGAGGCACATTTCAACCTCTGGGTGTGTCTAAGAAATTTGCCTTCAACAATGTCCGTTCGATTTCATAAAGCCCATCCAAGCGCTAGGAGTTTTAGCGAACATTGCGGCAATTCAAAGAACCCCCTCCAATGATATCCCATAATTTCCAATCTCTCCGAGGCGAATCTTGGCTGTCGCGCCAGTCGAAAACATTTTCAATAGGCTTCAGAAAAGCGCATTTCTCGATCAGTTTGCTGTCATAATACGATAGAACAGTAACTGTCTCTTTCAGTCAGTATATTTAAACACTGCAGCCGTGGAAGTTGAAATAGTGTTTATATTACGCAAGAACGCTATCGTTGTACATCTACGGAGAGTATGACTTGTTTTTAGTACATTATTTTGCAGAAAATTTCAACAGCGTTTGGTATGGAAACGAGGCTCTGCAGCGGACGAAGTTCATATGCAAGTTCCTGGCACGAGCGGACGTTAGAAGCGAAAACTTCTGATTTCAAGAACTAGGCCTGGTCGTTTTCGATCCGATTCTTGAAACAAGCCCCTTTTCCTTCGGTTTGGATATAGAAGAAATAAAGTTGAAATCATTTAAAAAACCGACAATTTAGGATAGCCTTAGTTAGCTAAAAAAAAAATTAAACTTACTATCCGCAAGCTATAATGTAATAAACGATGGGCTGGTCTCAGTTAGTTTTTTTTTTTTCTTTTATGCTTTTTTCAGGTCCGGCCATTTGCTTCTTTCTCTCACTTTCTGTCTTTATTTCCCTTTTTCATTTTCTTTTTTTCTTTCCCCCAACAAATTGGACCACGCCCAATGGCACGAGCGAACACTAAAAGATCTAAAAGGAACTTCCATCCCCCACCTTCCCCGGCCCGAGCATGAACTGGTAAGAGAAGCAAAAAGAAGTCAGCAAGAAAACAGGAATGCTTTGAAATCCTGTTAGCCAAGGGTCAATAACTGAAAAAATACTCTTTAGAGAAAATGACTGTTTGAGTCAGCGGGGTTTTTAAACTTGAACGAGTTCAACGGACAAAAAGGTTTTAATGTAATACTTTTAAAATCTCAATGGACTCTGAAGTACTTTTTTTCCCTGCACAACAAAGTAAAACTTGGAAATAAAATAGATAAAGACAACCAGAAACGAAAGGTTATAGAAGGTTTTGATATTAGAGATTACGCAGATTACCCCCGGAAGATGTTTTTATCCTGGGTTTGAAAAATCGAATTTAGATACCGACGCATTAACATAGTCGACTGTCTGAACAAAATAATGCCCCGACTTGTCGCAAAGCTGAGATGATGATATACATATCAATATGTGGACACTAGTCAATTGCCACAAGTAAGGTCAAACGTTCTTTGTTGGTAGTTATAACATAACCAAAGTAAAGCGCGCGCTCTGATTGGTCAATTTAGCGTCCCCCATTTGCCCATGGGTGTACGCTGATGACGTGAGAAAATGCAAAGACTATTTTTCCGCGCGCGCTTGTTTTTTCTGGTCACGTAAGATTTGTTAAATAAAAGGGAACTCTTTAGCTACAATGTATCAATGTTATGTTATAAAACAAATGGTAAACACCACAGCGTACACTACTGAGTTATAGATGCACTTGGGAGGTTTGCTAAGCACTCAAGAAGCTAGAGTCGCTCTCAGCTATCGCCTCGAGCGACTCTTACGCTTCTTTCGTGCTTAGCAACCTCCCGCGTGCATCCATAACTCAATAGTGTACGCTGTGGTGTTTACCATTTGTTAAATATAATTTCTTCCGTTGATAGCTTCAGGGGCGTTCTGACAGTGGGTTACCGAGGGACCCCTGAGGAAGAACGAGTTTTGGGGATCACTTATACTAGGCTTACACTAGAGGAGAGTGTTACGAGGATCGAATTATTTTTACTGATTCTGTCACGCAATCCCAGACTTTTCCAGAATTATCTATAATCTGTAATATTCCAGAAACTTCTTTCATGTGACTCAGCAGTTTCCAAAAATAGTACAACTTGTTATACGCTATAAATAGTAATAGCACATTCTAGATAACTAAAGTAAATGTATAAAAGATGGCTTGTGAGAAGTACAAAAGAGATTTGCCCGAGGGCTTACCCTCGTGGCTTGCTGACTGAACCTGTGGAAGCTATGATGTGACGAGGCTATGACCTTTTGACCTTGCGATATCCGGAGAGGAGAGAGAGAAGAAAGAGACGATAGCCAAGAAGGGAAGAAGTTAAAGAACACAGAGTTCACTTTGAGGTCCTCCAGAAGAATTTGTGTACACGGAAAGAAAGCCATGAGCCAAGCGCTGTGGTCTTCAGTCGGCGGATGTTGGAATTGGAAGTTGATCAAGACGACGAACACTTACACGGCATGAAGGATTGTAAGCCTGCTTTATGAACTGCTTAACTTAATCTCTAACCTCAGTAGATTAAACAGTGTAAACCTAATTAAATAATAGTTAAAATGGGTAACTGCTAATTGTTACATTTTTGTTGCGTGCCGTATATCGTACTCGGGAGTCTATTTTCATATATGCTTTGTGAGCGGGCATTTGTTGGTCATTCGTTCACGTAACAAGAGTTTTCCGGATTCGTAAATGTTTCCGGATTCATCAATTTGGGAGTATTCGGATTCGTAGGCGTTTACACTGAAAGGATATTCGGATTCCTGACCGTTTACACACAACGACAACTCCGGGAACATTCGAAATGGAATAGTTACCAAGCCCAGTGTTGTTTCGTCGTTCAATCGACAAAGTGACTGATGCCTCCCCCCAAAAAAGGCTAGAGTAGATCCAGATGCCACTGAGGCAAATTTGAGTTAGACAGATGCCAAGCCATCTACGTCGTCAGCGATTGTGGCTGACGTTAAACTTCCTTACAATAATAATTTGCGTTTCCTCAGAAATACTGCGGTGCACTAGATAAAATTTATCGCCTGAACCAAAAACAAGATTAGGCAACCGGAGACCGCCAGCAATGTTAGCACCAGATCCTCCATTTTGGTTTCACCGCAAACTCAAAAGATTGCAGGCGGAAATAATATCCGGATTCAAGAAAAAAAAGCGGTTACACGACAAAACTCTCCGGATTCAAAAGTTATCGGATTCAAAGTTCCCACTTTAAATTCCGGATTCAAAATCTCCGGAGACACGACCAAACAGGGGAGTTTTTATTTCGGATTCGTCCACTTTCGTGTAAACGGCAAAATCAATCCGGTACTAAAACGTTTCGGATTCATCACGAATCCGGAACAATTTCCTCTAGTGTAAACCTAGTCTTGATTTTCAGGGGGAATGGAGTGGGGTCAGTCGTCACTTACAGAATATAGAAGGTGGGTTGTAGAAGATTTGATTTCCAGTTAACTGCAAATGAGGGGCATCATCATATTGTTACAGGGCCTCATAACACACACCCAACGAATCTGTCGTTCTCTCTGAATCTGGTCGGAGCGAATAAGCATGACATCCAAGCCCGAGGAGGAGCACAGATCAGAATGAAATCGAGAGCTTTTTTACTTGAACTCTCTCCTCTCTTTTCCCTGTTTCCGAGAGCACGCGTAAATGATTTTCCCTAAAGCTCTACAAACAGCTAACTTAGTACGAAATACAAGCTAAGTGATGAGTAAATGAAAAAATAAATAATCAAGAAAGAAGTTTTAAAAGGCCATTTTATTAGTGAAGGGTGCTTTCGTTCACAAAAATTCGTGGCTTGTGGTCAGGTTCTCAATAATAGTGCTGCAGCACACGCGATTATACAAAACAAGAGTTTGTGGTCTTAAAGCAAAACGAGCCTGCGAGGTCTTCGTCTTGATCTTTCTCGTAGGTGAAGGAATACTTGTGTCACAGCGCTAGGAATGAGGGCCAAAGCGTTTGAGTTGAGCCTGCCTTTAGTCGAGGGTCAAATTTTTTTCCAAACTTGGAGAAAAGTTTCTCGATTTCATTACTGACTCGAGTCTACGCGAGTCTCGGGGTACTGTTTTCGTCCTATGCACGGTGTGATTAAGGCCGGTGTTATCAAAACCCACAGTTACCTGCACCACAATGACCAAGCGACTAACGGTGCTACTTCTGTGATATCTTATGTGTTCCGCAAATAAACCTTTGCGAACAGAACCTAATATCTTCCAGTATAATAACAAATAAATTAGCAGAGAGCAACAGCCAGACAACAAGTTTTTCCCATTTTTTGTCATTTTGCTATGTTTTAATCTTTCTGCTGCAGAAAAATTTACAATAAAAAGTCTGTCAGCCTAGATGAGTAGTGACTTCACTGGCCCTTAAAAGCAAGCACTTGTGGTCATTGATCACAACGGAAAAGAAACGAATAGTTTATAAAAGTACTGCAATTACATACATACATACATACATGAATACATACAGCAATTAACTTCTATAGGTACAAGAGCTGTTACCTCAGGGATCCAGCTAAGATAAAACAAGATTTTTTTGTTGCCAGATGCAATGCTGACATTAATCAAGAACGAATTAAAAATTTTATTGGAATTGCCTGCCAAATATTTTGGCTCCATAACAATAATAATTTATATCTTTTCTATTTTTCTAATAGTTCAAGAACGGTCAGCTGCAAAGGAGAAAAGAGTCGAAAATGAACGCAACAGAAAAACGCGTGAAAGATTTCGTAAGTCAACGATATTCAATTGGAAAATAAAAGTCTAAAATGTTAAGGTGTTCTCTATGATGTTTCCATAGCAACCCAACCATGTCTACTCCCAGGGGCACTATGATGAAGAACAGCAATTGTACAACCCTAATGTCATTTCTGCATTCGACTTTCGTTGGTCAATCAAACCTATCTTATTGCCAAACAGTTCCTCTAACTACATCAACAGCTACAAGTTACTAAGACAATTGGTACTCGTTGTCATGAAAGCCATTAAGCCTTCTCCATATATCCTAAGTATTCCTACACATTACTTCAGTTAACAACAACAAAAGAGACTGCCTCTTCTTTTTAACAACTACTCCTACAATAGTGAACTGTAACAATGAATGAAAATCAGATACTTAAATTCTTCTGGGTAAAGCAACTCTAAGTTGGCAATAAGAAGTATTTTCCTTTCACTGATGGCAAAACAGATGTTTATAAGGTAAGGATATTCCAAGTTTGATTGATTCCTCTTCATAGAAGCATAGCATAAGGACCAAAATAAGATTTTTAATTAGTGACACCTTACTTGTTGCTTTTCCACTTAACAAACATCTGAAGATATCATAATTAGCAATACTATCAAGAGAGTACCTGAGGCTTTAAGATTCTTTAATGAATGTAGATTATCTTTCCACAGGTCTATATGTAGTTTCAATAAAGAATTTTTTTTTACATACCTAGAAATTTTTTCCCTGACTTTTGGCAACTTTAATAGTTTCTCTTAAACTGATTACTTAGAGTATTACTTCTACCATAATAAACTCTACATGGCTACTTTAGGTTAACAAGTATGTCTACACCTAAGCTAAGGGGTATTTAAAACCAATTCTTGGCACACGGAAGTAGCCACACCATGTAATTGGTAATTTAATTGCTTGCTACAACCTCTAAAATGACAAGACAATACTTTTCTGTTCAGACTGTTCATTGGTAAAAATAAAATGATACTTAATGCCCCAGGACCACAAAGGAAAGAAAGTTCTTACTTGTTGGGTTAGCAGCGAGATAACAAATCCTTGTTACACCTTATCAATAAAATGCATACTTCTCTGTGGATTATACAAGATTTACAATGAAAAACTATCCTCCTCAGCAAGGCTACTGAAAGAATAGTAGCATGACAAGAGAGTGGTGAAAGAGGTCAAGAAATCCAGGCTGATGCCAGCTTACCCAGAAAGCAAATACACAAGAAGGGTGTTCCATAGAATGAAGATTAACATTTAAATTATGGATATCATATACACTTTGTTTATGGCCAATCGAAGGCAAGTAATTAATAGGTTTCTCACCATAATCTCTGGAAGTCAACATTGTTAATATATTTCAAAGGCTTGCAAAAGAAAGACTAGTAAAAGAAAACAGTTTATTTTTCCTTTAGGCTAACAATACAAAATTTGTTTTGCAGGATGGAACAAACAAGAAATTGTCCTCAGTCTTACGAAAAAAACAACATAATTGTTGATCCGAGAGGCAAACCTAAGGAGGACTGAAGAAGCCTTGGCAAAAACTTAGCAGCCAAACTAATGTTTCTTTTTCCTTATTCAAGACACTTTCTAGCTATGTATCTAACACTTTGGAAAATATTTCCAGTGGCTTGACTACCTTCAAATTACACAACGCTCAACTGTGTTGAAATATACTAGAAACAATTCACAGTGTGCACTTGTCTTGACAACTTGAATCCTAGCAATATTTTCACACAGACACTTTTGTTTTAGAGTATTTTGTACACAAAAGTACTTCACTCAGAATCAGCTGAAGACAAGCAATCTTAAATAAAGAAATCTCTATTCAACCATTTTGTGATTTCTACAGTTTTCATTCCCAAGTTTAATCTCTCATAGCCTACTTGCCTTCTTGTCTTTAATTCAGATTATAAGTTCTTTTACCAACTCTATTCAAACTAGATTATACTCTTTTAGGTTTAACTGCAGTATTGTATCCTTTACAGCCGCAAATACAAACCGGATATTTTCTGTATCTGTGGCGCATGTGAAGTGGGAGTATATTATCTTATCTGAATCTGGATTCAGGTCCACAAACATTTTTAGGATGAACTCGCGTGCTGCCTGTGCATCACACTGGGGTCCTGCAGACAAGAAAGAGAATTACAAAGATTAAAACAGTTACACTGAAGTAAACACTGCCCTAAATCCTAAAATAATGTGGTTTTATTAGTTGAAAACCACTAAAGGGGTAGGAATATGTTGTAGTTTTCATTTTCACTTCTTTGAAACATTTTCAAACCAATTTTTTTTTTGATGCATGCTCATTAACATTATAAGTCCAGCATACACTGTATGAACCAGAAAAATCTAAATTTAACTGGTTTGAAAAAACCAGTTACATTTAGAGTAAACTCTTAACCACAACAAATACACTTTGGAGGAATGGCTAGAAATAAAGAAGATTCAATAACATGGTCTGGGAATAAAACTTGACAAAATACATAACACAACAAAAATACAGAATGCTTCAAAATTTCACACCAAGTTTCAAAAAGTATTACAGGTTAAAACCCCCTAAGGCACTTTTCACCAGTTCTGGTACTCATCTGTACTTACTTGCTTGGGGAAAATGGGAAACAGAAGTGTCGTGTTGAAGACCTTCCTTGAGTGCTGGAGTTCATATTGAACTTTATAAAATCTATAAAAGTTGGCTTACTGGGACACCCGCTTCAAACAACATAAACAACTGAATTCAGGGGCATGCATAAGTACATTTGTTTATGATGAACAGAAGTCTTCACTCCATTTACACTTCCAATTCTGTCAGTAGTACACAACAACCCTTCAAGAAAGTACAACTACATGGTAACTAAAAAAAAAAGCTTACATACCATCAAATTCAGGGAAATATTCCACCAAATGTGAAAACATAATTTTCTCTTCCAACAAATCCTTCTTGTTTAAAAATAATATGATGGAAGAGTTCTGAAACCATGGGTATGTGATAATAGTACGAAATAATGCTTTGCTTTCCTCCATACGGTTCTGAAAATGAAAAGAACAAGGTTATTAAATCAACAACACTAGTGCACTTTTTACGATATTGATATAATCGGAAAGAATACACTTGTCCCTTTTAATGAAAAATAATGCAGTTCTGGTCAGTTGGAAATTAGTACACAGTTGCTCAGTTATTGTAATATAAGTTAACTTCTTGCCATCTAGCATATCTACTAGAGTGCCTCATTAGTGCAGTATGTGCACAGCCCTTGAAGTTCAAATTTCAGCCCAATTTTTATCTAACCATAAATTTTAAACATCTCAGATCAGAGAAATCCAAGTTATTTCTCAGCAGACTGTGTAAATTTCAACAAATTCTCAGTCACCCCTCATGCAAGTCCATCCAGCCCATCACATAGAGACAGAACATGCCTAAAGCCTTAAGCCCTTGTCAGTGGAGGTACAAAAAGTTTGACAGGAGTGGATGAATGGAGTGAAGAAGCAAAAGAAAGCATCTTCCCTTGGGTGACAGCAACAACTCTGAAATTTTACAGGTAACAAACTAAGCGATCAAAACCTTACAACTTGCTACTAGACCACAAAACAAAAACAACCAAATTGACATTTTAAGCTGCCAATTTAGAAGCTCGTTTTTTTCTGCCTTTGCAACCAAAATATAGAGATAAAAAACAAGATATTTCTAGCTAACATACAGTACCACAAAAATTCAATGACCCATTACTAAATCAACATTCCAAACTGTTGGAAAATTAACATAACCTGGAATCTGTTGCCTCCAAGGTACAAAGGGTTTTTTGTCAGACTTGTTTCATGTACCAAACAAGTGTATTATCAACTGAATATTTCAATCTGAAAATACTGCTTTGATCATCCATCACATTGCCATAGTTATCTCAGTTATGCCAATTCTTGAGGTTACTATGGCATAATGTACAATGACTATTACAACTGCTGCACAAAAGGCATGAAAAGTTGAAAACATTACACTACCTCATTGGCTGATTCTACAAGGACTTGGTCATATTCACTGAGAGCCACAAGAAACATAATTGACGTCACATTCTCAAAGCAGTGAATCCACTTCCTTCTCTCAGACCGCTGACCTCCAACATCAACCATTCTAGAAAAACAAGAATAAGAAACTTTTGAGTTTAATCTTTAACTTCTGAGAGTGACCGGCTTCAAATTTCTCCATGCAGTATCATCATCGAATGAAATGTAAAGGTCGCCAGAATAAAGGAAATGATCCCCAATTTAACAAGCTCCTGATGGTCAAACAAGTTCCCCTCGCCTTTTCCAAAGCAAATGCAGAGAGAACTTTGGGGACAATGTGAATACCAATCTCAGGGTGCAGGGGTTAATCATGAACTGCCTCTTGACATTTTCACAAACCAAATCATTCCATCAGGTGATTGAAACAAGAATGTTTAACCTCTAATGGGTGCTGATGCAAAAAACCAATTTAACCCACTGACACTTGCATGTAACACGTGCTGACGAAAAGTCAAAATTTTGGAGAAACCAAGAAGGGAAACACAATGCGCAGTAAATTTTTAAATCATCTTTTCCAAAAAAAAGCTCCAGTGAAAGAGGACTAATTAAAGAACTTATTTCCAGCAAAAAAAGTGATAAGTGCATATTACGTTTTAACTCAAAAATGTGTAAAAATGGGCATGTGGATCATATTCAAAAGGGAATATGCAAATTTGTCCGTGAGTGAAGAGATTTCAAGTTCCATGGAATCTATCAATAGGAAGCAAGACTAAAATGGCCAAGAAATATTTTGGGACGTCAGATTTATTCAAAACAGTTTTTGATTTGCTGTTATAAGCGAAAAACATACGAATTTCTTACGTGTACAAAGCCCACGC